GATCTAATTCAACCACAGGAGAGAAAATGAAGGGAAGAAGTGTCCACCAAGGAGGAGAGGACACCATCATCCTTTTTGTTTTTCATTCTTTGAGGGTAACTCAAGTGAAAAGAGAAAACAAGAAAATTATGCTCCCTCCCCCATATATATCTTATATATCCACACGCTCCTATAGTATTTTCACTATGAATTCTAATGAATATAGATCTAGTCGCAAACATATTTCTTCCTGTGGGTTGTGCTAGCTTTCCCCCTATTCATTTATTTACTGAAACCCTTAATTCTTCCTGCCCCGGGGTCCACTCTTTTCTGGGAGAAGGAAGAGTCAAAATTCTCTTCTTCTGTCTTCTCTTTTTCTTTTCCTTTCTTTTCCTTTCCTCCCTTTCCCTCTCACCCACTTGTTGCAGGCTACAACTCAGCAATGCGCTTGTTCCGCTGGGTGATCGTAAAAGGGTTTGACTCACAGCTGACCCCAGGGTCAGGACTTTCTCTCCACTAATCCTGCTCTCTTTAAACACAAAAACACTCTGCCTCCTTCCCTTGCATCAGTCATCTTAATCCCCCAGTGGCTGACACCCAGCCCTGGCCTCCGCAGCAGTGGAGTGCATTGGGAACTGGGTACATTGTGACTCCCCATCTCTGGCTTCCCAATCTAGCTCCTGGAAATGACAGAACCCCTCCTGTAGAAGACCAAGGAAGAGGGGAATGGCAGGAACTAGTAGGAAAGAGAATAAGGAAGATGCTTAAAGACATGGCCCTGCATCCCTGGCACCTGTCTGACCTTGACATTACACCCTCATCTCCAGAGCTGCTAATATAGAGCTTCCCAACAAGTTCCCCATAGGGTAGGCCCACCGGAGGGGTGTCTGCTGAGGAAATAGAAGAGGGGAAGAACTATAGGAGGAGGAAATGAAAAGGTTGAAAAAGAAAAAAAGGAAAGATGCAAAAAGTTGCAAGTGAAAAGGTGAGAGAAAATATAGGAGGAAAAGGAATAGAAGATAAAGGTGAAGAAAATTGGGAATCAAAAAGGTGATAGAAGTGGTAGAAAAGCAGGAAAAGAGGATCACTTGAGGGAGGGTGAAAGATAGAATAAAGTGAGACAGGATGAAAAGAAAAATAAGGAAATGGATAGTTTCTCTTCTTTGAGAGGAAGAGAAGGAAGACTAGGGAAATTTAGAAGAAGTGGAAGAGGAAAGAAGATGAAATAAAAACTAGAATAAAGGAAATAGAAAAGAACCCAAAGGAGTTAAATCAGGAAATAGCTTGTTGCAATGTTTATAACTAGTGGGAACAGGCAAGATGGTTGAAAAAGTAGGGAGAAAGTGTTGAGAATGGAAGGAGGGGCACTGGAAGAGAGAAGAGAGAGTCTGAGAATAAGAGTGGGTGGGAGAAGAAAGCAGAAGAGGAAGTGGAGGAGGTGGGGGGCACCAGTTGTGAGAAGAACACCCTGAAGGATGCGGGGGGGGGGGAGAAGGGTGAAGCTCACCGGGAAGGGGCTAGGGGTGAGCACTGCAATCTCAAATGACCCCCACCCTCCCAATCACAGCTGAATGCCAAAGCAGACGCCAATGCCCTCATTTCAGTTCCGTGTTTACTGCGCAACGCGTTTCCAGATGAGGTATTTTGTTTCCCTGGGTGGGTTAGAGTTTGTAGCTCATAAGATGCCCTAACACCGCCAGGCGGAGCGGGGGTCCCTCCGGGCTGGGCTGCCTGCCGGGTGAGCTCACAGCTGGAGAGGAAGAGAAAGAGAGAAGAGAGGAGGGAGGAAGGGAGGGAGGGAGGAAGACAGAGAGGGAGGGAGAAAGGACGGAAGGAAGGAACTGTTTCGAACCTCCCTAGCAGGGCAATCGCCTTTGGGCTTTAGGTTCCAGCTGAGGCTATCCAGGAAGCATAGGGGGAAAGCAGAGGAAAAGGAAAAGATGGGGGAGGGGACACAGAAGCCGCCCCTTGCTATTCAATAAGTTTCCTAAAATGTCTTTCAAGGCATCACTTTACCCCCTTTCCTCATCTTCCCAGCTTCCATCCCTGGAGCCTCTCTGTGTAAGAGACAGCCCCCCCTCCCAGGCCCCCACCCACTTTCACCAACCCCACCCCGCAATCTCTGTCTGTCTGTCTGTCTGTCTCTGTCTCTCTGTCTCTGTCTCTGTCTCTGTCTCTCTCTTTCTCTCTCTCTCCCGAGCGGGAGGGAAACGCGGCTCCCCAGGGGAGCCAAACAACCCTCCACCCCCTCACCTCCTCCCCATCTGGCCGGGGCTTTCAAAACAGCTAAACAGTCACCCTAGAAAAAGAGTTACAGCCAAGGCCAAGTTTGCTTTTCCCGTGAAGTTTCGAAGGAATCAAACCTGTTATTAAATTCTGCCTCCAACGCTTCCATTCCCTCCAGGGCACTCCTGGGGAGGAGGAGATGGCTCCGGAGAGAGAATGGGGGGCAGGGTAGGAGGCCATCCACAACTCGGGGCTCCAGGAGAGGACCTGGGCCCGGGGCGGAGGGCAGGGGGTCCTGAGAAGAGGTCAGGAGGAGCAGGGAAGTAAAGAGAAAGAATGGGGTGGCCACTGACCACTCCACCCACAGGGAATTCTAGAGCTTCACTCCTAGCTAGGCACAAGTAAAGAATTTACCTAATTAACCGGAATTTCCTTCTGATGAAACCTTCTCCCTTTCTTTGTGAGGAAAACTAAATGCATGTATGTGTGTGTTATTATTCCTGTACATACATTATTTTAATAAACCTGTCAGTCATTTAATCGGACGAACATCTGCAGTTCAGGCTCGCTGAATCCATAAATAATCTTGAAATTGTAAATCATTTCCTTTCGCTAATAAGGTTTTTTTGGGGGGGTGTAAGAAAGAGGGGGTTAGGGTCCAACTTTTTCTCTTTAAAAAACGGAGTCAAAACAGAAACAAAATCACTTTAAAACACTACTAAGCTCAAAAGAGAGGGCCCAGCGAAGAACCGTCCACTGTACATAGAATTCAAGAATTCACCCCTTAGGCTTCCGCAACAAAGTTACTGAAACTTTGTTTTTAACTCCAGTACCCAGCCTCTCCACGTTTTCCCCAAGATTTCAAAAGAAATTGGGAGCCAAAGGGGAGCAAGAAGCCACTGGGAGTTTGGCATCACCTTATACAAGCCAGGCAGTGCCCTCCGCATAGAATGCTTGGCATTTATCTCCTGACCGCCGCCGGACCCACTTGGGGTCGGTTTAAAGCTTGCACAGCTCTATCTTAATCATTTATCTACACTTTTAAAATGGAGGCGTTACAATTCTATCACACAGCTTCAGTACTAGTATCTCAACCGTGAAAAAAATCAACTCCCTGAAAATGTCTTCTCCCCTTTAAGAAATGCTTTCGGGCAGACCTAGTCAAGCGTTTGGTCCCCAGCACGAACCTCAAGAGAAAAAGTGAGAAAAGAAAGAAAGAAAAAGGGCGGCGGGAAGAGCGGCCCAGTGTTAGCTGCCGCAGCCTTAGCTTTTAGATACCCAAGATGAAAATCAAGTTAAATCCCAGCACTTTTCTAAACAGCTTTCAGATGCTCATCCCATCTCTGTCAGTATATCTGAACTTCTTTTTTTTTTAAATCTCTGCAGCTTTTCCAGCTAACGCCGACGCCTCAGTTTTCCTCAGATACCCAATGGGCTTTTCCGAATGTGGGTAAAGTTCAGTTGGGGAATGTCCTAAGACTATCTAGACATCGGCTCTGAATACACCTGCCTGACCATATCTTCACATAGACACACCATAAACATACATCTGGCTACTACATTTGTATACAAACTCAAATAGAAAGAAACTGCAGGAGCCCTGCGGACAGCGTCACCCGTAAAGCTCTCGAAGGCACCCCAGATTATTAAGTATGTTTTCAGCGTGTCCATATAACGGTTTCCAAAATTAAGGCCACACTCCGGCGAACAGAGCGGTATAGGATATCCTCAGAGGAGTCTTTGTGTCCATGGAAGTTAGTTACTGTAGGACTATTCCGCTGACCCATCTATAGGCGCCACACACGTTCCTAGGGACACGTTTGAAGGGCTAACAAAGGACCCAGTTACTTTAAAAAAAGAAGGAAGATTTTTATTACCTTGTTAGAAAACAATACACATGGTCCATGGAAATTTCGAAAATTACTTCAAGGAATGAGCAGTGTAAGCAAAATGATCCAGAATGACTTCAACGAGTGACACTCGTCAATGGTCAAAGATCGACGTTAAAGTTAAAGTGCAGTTTCTAACTCAGCCTGATTCCGATTCTTTTCTCCAACTAATATTTACCCACATTTGGATTCATTCACCACATACAAAAAAAATGCTGAGAAATAAGTAGCGGGGGGGATTAGGAAAGGGAAGGAGGGCCTAAAGAGCCTGAAACCCACATTTCCCAATCTGAACTTTAAAAGATCTTTTAAATAAAAATTTATCTTAATATCACGACTAGTTTCAAAATGTATTTGCTACAGTATGACTTTTAAATGCGATATTTAATGCTGTCAAATTACTAGCAGACAAAGTTTTACAGAAAACTTTTAATTCCAGAAAAAAAATGGCAAGGTACCGATAAACACCTAGAAAAAATAGAATTAATTTTTTTTAAAGCATTAAACAACCTTAGGATCCTGTTAGGAACAAACACAGCATTTAGCTTGACAGCTTTCACACCGGTTGTTAGCAACTTGCATCCCAGTTCACGCAGGGTTTTTTTGTTATTTTGAAAGTTCCACAAAATGTTTCACCCTTTCCCAAAGGATGGGGAGGGGCGAGGGAGGGGACAGAGAACAGGGACCAGGGTACTCAGTTTGAGTATATTTTTGGTTCAGATTGTGTTTCTGTGAGCCAAACCCAGATAGATCAGATCTGCTTGCAATCGTGTTAATTACAGGGGAAACAGGGGCACATGTGCACCGCCGTTGTCTTTGTCCCCCATCCCTGGCCCAGTCCCGCCACTGGGGTCTTTCCCCTCCCCCCTCCCCCCGCCCCCACCACACAGAAGTGCAGTCTGGACCCTAGACCAGTTTAAGGCGGCAAAGCTTCACAGCAAGTAAACTCACACCAGGATATTGCCTTCCACAGATAAAACAAGCAAACGAATGGGCCAGACTATGGAAATATTTTTTTTAATATTTTGCCTTCCTTAACAACACTTAATAGATATTAAAAATAATCTCCTTTGAAAACCTATGCCTCTGATCTTTCACTTTCTCCCCTTACAGTTGATATCGACTATTAGAAATCTCCCCTCAGGCTCCTGTGGGGAAAGGGGGCGGTTTCTGTTATTTTCGGTTCACCCTGATTAACTTCTCTCTCTTTCCCCCTCCAGATTTACCAATTGTTTTTCAGGGTGTTTATACATATGATTAAAATCAGTACATTTCAAATTTAGGGAAGAAAAACATTTTTCACTTAAAAATTTATTAACTCAAAATCCAGGGGAAAGGGAGGTTTTGAGGTTTTTCTTTATCTCTCTCCCTCTTTTAGCAGAAAGGCTTCTTAATAAACTATGTACACAATCTGAATCTCCCCCTTCCCGAAACGCCTAAATTAAAAAAAAATCACAATGCATTTACAAGAAATCATACAAAACAAAAAAAAGGGGGGGAGATCTCAGATACAGAAAGTTTTACAAAACCCAGAACATAACGTCGCAGTCCGGAAAAAAAGGGGGGGGGAGGAGATGTCTCTTTATATAAATAAACAGGAAAAAAAAGCCTTCACAGCTACAAAAACAAAAACAAAAACAAAAACAAAAAACTTTAACGTGTGGTTCGGAAGTTGCTTTACTACAACTGTAACAAATGAGAACTGTTCCCCATCACTCTATCTTAGGCAATAAAGCGCCATACGGAAGCGATGCAAGGATGAGTTAATGCTCCAGCGGTTATATAAAAGTTGGCATCGCCTATATCTTTGTCTGTTTTTTTTCTCTTTAGCAAATAAAACGCTATATGCCTCCTCAGTGAATGATAAATACTGTACAAAAAGTCTCAATAAAACACCGAAGTTCAGTCTAAAACGCAAAACTAGTCTTAACAACTAGTTCCCAGGAGCTTCTAAAAAGGTAAATAGAGCAACTGTTACCTTCTTTTCCTCATTATTAATATTATCGAGATTTTTTTTTACAAGAACATCAAAACATTCTGTACAAAAAGGAAGTCCAGATGGTGGCGGCAGGGGTAGGAAGGGGCAGGTAAGAGGGGTTTTAGGAGGTTAGAGGAGGAAGGGGACAAGGGCTAGAAAGGTGTGCGTGGGGGGGTGGGGAGCGACAGTCCCATCGCAGAGGTACAAGTTTGTTGTTTTGCTGTGTGTTTGTTGCAGCTTAAGTTTTTTTCTTTGCCAGATTCTCTCGTTCGCTTTCTAACTCTAGCGCTCGGCCGCCTGTTCTCTCGATCACTGTCTCTGGGACTAGATGTGTGTCAAGGGGACAGTTCCATTGACTCCAGTGCCGGCGCTCTGGTAATGTTGGGGCAGCGAATGCAGTCGGCTCTGGGCCGCCGCCGCAGCTGCCGCTGCAGCCGATGCGGCCGCGGGGTCCCCTCCTTCCCCGGCGGGTAAGTACATGCTTATCATCTCGCGCAGGTCCCCGGGGCAGGGAGCCCGCGAGTGAGAGGTGACCGGAGGGCTGACGCTAGGCTCAGACTTGACCAGAGAGCCCAGCGCGCCCAAGGCGCCTGACGACGCGGCCGCTGCGGCTGCCGCCGCCGCCACGGCAGAGTTCTGGTGTGGGCCGCCCGCGGCAGCGGCTGCGGCAGCCGCGGCGCCGTAGGAAAGGCCCCCGTAGCCCGAGGGCGAGGCGCTCATGTAGCCCTGCGAGTTGGAAATGGGACTGTATTGGAGTGCGCCCATGTCGTAGCGGTGCATAGGCTGCGGGTTGTGCGGGTGGTGGGGGTGGTGGGGGTGCGCGTGTGGGTGATGGTGCGCTCCCCCGGCGCCCGGGTGCTGGCTGTAGGCGAGCTGCGCTTCCTGCATCATCGCTGCAGCGGCAGCTGCCGCTGCCACGGAGCCCGGATAGGCTCCGTTGGCCCAGCCGTTCATGTGCGCATAGCCCCCGCTCGCCGTGCCTCCAGGACTCTCCAGACGCTGGCCCACACCGGCCGGGCTCACTCCCACTCCCATGCCTACCCCGACGGCCGGGCCTCCGCCTCCAGCGCCAGCAGTCAGCAAGCCCCCGGCCAACGAGTACTTGTCCTTCTTGAGCAGGGTCTTGGTTTTTCGCCGGGGCCGGTATTTATAATCCGGGTGCTCTTTCATGTGCAGAGCCCGAAGACGCTTCGCCTCGTCGATGAAAGGGCGCTTCTCTGCCTCGGACATGACTTTCCACTCGGCCCCCAGTCTTTTGCTGATCTCCGAGTTGTGCATTTTGGGGTTTTCCTGGGCCATCTTGCGCCTCTGGCCCCGGGACCACACCATGAAAGCGTTCATAGGCCGCTTGACCCGGTCCTGGTTGGCTTTGTTGCTGCCTCCTCCTCCTCCGCCGCCGCCGCCGCCACCTCCCCCGCCTCCTCCGCCAGCCCCGGTCTGGCCCGTTAGGTTCGTGGGGGCCTGGGCCCCACCGGGGGAATGCAAGTCCGTTTCCATCATCATGCTGTACATTCAAGCGGCTTTTAGTGTTCACCAGCACCAGACGAAAAAGGCGTGAAGCATAGAGGACCAGGAAGACAGAGAGACGATCAAAAATGGAGAGAGATGTCAAAAAAAAAAATTTAAAGATCCTATGGTTAATAATGAGAAAATTTAGAGAAGGGAAAAAACTCAACAAAAACGAAACAAAAGAAAAACCAAGCACACACGCAGTGGCTATCAGGATTACAGGTGAAAACTTTTTCCTCGTGCAAAAATCGCTTGGCTCAGGGGTGGTGTGTCTTTGCTCCTGCTGCTGCTGCTGCTGCTGCTCCTGCCGCTGCTGCTGTAGCCTCTCTAGCTGGAGCTGTTCAAACAGGTGCAAATCAGTTGTAAAGTTGCTGCTTCACTTTGGGAGGAGGAGTGAGTGGCGGATGTACCCAGGCGCTCGCTCGGCACGGGGTGTTCTTCTGTCTCTCTTTGGCTCCCGCACACACTGGCTCTCACTTTCCTTCTCTCCTTCCTCCTCCTCGCTTATTCTTTAAAGACTTTAAAACTTGGTGGCTACAACTTCTAGAGGGAGAGAGGAGAGGAGCGTGTGATTTGCATCTGCGGGTCCCAGGTGCCGGGGAGGGGGGAGCACTTATACAGCCACCGCCTCCAAACGTGGGGTGGGGTGGGGGGAGAGATGCAATTAAAATTGTACCAGAGAGGAGGAGGAGGAAAGATAAAAGAGAGAGGGGGAATAAGAACGAGAGAGAGAGGAGAGGAAGGAAGGGGTGGGGGGAACACCTTAGAGCCCGAGAGAAGTTGCCCAGTAATTTGTTCTCTCTCTGGTTTCCCTCCTCTAGGCTGGGGGAATCAGAAGAGGAGGAGCAGGGAAAGAGACACACACAGAGCCAGGGACCCAGCAGCCATACGCTGAGCACAGAGCTGCCATTAAATGAGTTTGCCGCGGCCAATGGGAGAGCTGCGGCTGGGGGATTATTTGCATGGCGCGCTGTCGAGTGACGTGGGGAGGTGAGATATATAAACTCTGGGAGGGAGGAAGGGAGGGAGGGAAAGAAGGAAGGGGAAGGAGGGAGGGGCCTGCAAAGGGGGGTCACAAGCCACATTGCTTCCTGAGCGAGGGAACTAGGAGTTAGCCATCCTAACTCTCTTCCCCACTGGCGCTCTCAGAATGATTAATGATTTCATTTTAAAGCGAAGAAGAAGAAAGACATAGAATCGTAATAATACGACCTCTACCAAGGTTTAAATGGTCGAAATTGCAACACAGAGATCTGTCTCCGACTAAAGCACGAAAAAGTTGAGATTGGCTGGCATGGTTGCCTCTCACCTCAGTCCTGGAAAGAGGAGAGTGGGGTGTGTGTGTGTGCGTGTGTGCGCGCGCGCGCGTGTGTTTGTGTGTGTGTGTGTGTGTGTGTGTGTGTGTGTGTGTGTGTGTGTGTGTGTGTGAAGTACAGAAAGCACAAAAGAGAAGGGAGAAAAGGAATTTCTATCCTTATGGTGTGTCTTCAATCTGGACCGTCCAACCTTGGGCCATTGAGTACTCAGCCTTTTTCCCAACTTAATTTTTTCCTTGTTACCCATTCTTAATATGGCTGCTACCATTTTTGATAACCCCATTGACTGATACAGTTCCCTGTTTCTCTAATATCTCTTACTTAAAGGAAATGCCTTAAAAGTTAAAAAAGTCAACCTTTCTCCAACTCAAGCAGCCTGTCTGTGCTGGCCTCTGGAGATGAGACCTTCAACATTAAACTCTCTCTCTCTCTCTCTCTCTCCTCTCTCTCTCTCTCTCTCTCTCTCTCTCTCTCTCTCTCTCTCTCTCTCTCTCTCTCTCTCTTTCTCTCTCTCTTCTTCCTCTTCTTTCCACTGACATTCTCCTTTCTCTTCTTCAAAAAAAAAACAACACTTGGAAGGTTATACATGACCAAGGTACAGCTGGATTCTTAGCATTTAAACAATAATTTAAGAAAGTTAGTTTGAAGACTGAACATACTACTTGAAAGACAAAGTTGTCCCTGGCAAATATGGTCTGCCTAAGAATGGCAGTACTTGACAATAGGATTACTGATTTGCTGTTAATTTTCAAAACATTGGATCAACCTTACTGGGAAATTGATCTTTGACTTAAACATATCCCTATTTACAAAGAAGATAGTCCTAGCTTCGAAAGTATGGACCCCAATTTTTAAGTGATCATTTTAAACTGCAAATATTGTTGGTACTTAAGAGTTTCCTACTTTCAGTTCTGAAACAGAAGGGGGAATTCCTGTTTCTGTATAAACATGGAAATGGGGGGATCAGTTGTCCCCAAATATTTCTCATCTCCTTACTTCTCTCGAAGTTACAAGTATGCATTTATTTTATGCAGCTTGAAAAATGTGGAAAGTGCTGACCCTGTATAACCTTAACAACAGCAATGCGATGGCCATTCTTTAATAGAAATAAACATGTAATAATAATGAGTAATGATAGGCAGAAGGAAATTGTTTCAGCATGTTGGGCAATGAACATGTGACATCTTTTTTACTTTTTTGCAAGGTTGTTAGTTTCCTGACCCTGATGGTTGTCTAAGGTAAGGAATAATGATTCTTTCCTCTCAATTACTATTATTATTGATGCAGGTTTTTTCTCTTTTTATTGCAGGGTTGCTCCTGTATGCAGGGCAACAGTGAATTGTTCTCTGTACAGATTAAACTACTTTCATTTCAGGCATTCAGCATCTAATAGCAAACTCATCAAATAATATGTAATTATATTAGAAAAGAAATGTTATTTCATATTTATTTTTCACTAAATATTCAGGTTAAAAGCTTGGTTTTCAATTACCTTCTCATTCCAGACAGTTTGTTAAATCTTTTGATTTATTTCACTTGTTATCCACAAACATCAGTTACATTGTGAATGAACTTAAGAAAACAACAACAACCACCAAGGATATTGTGTCAGAATGACATACCCATTTCTCCTTTGATAACTTAAGAGAAAATGGATGTGCACTGAGATTCAGTATATCTTGGAAAGTCAGCAAGACCGAAATAAAAGAAATGGTTTACAAATTATAAACTATATTATCCACTTAGCGATTGAAAGATTTTTTCCTCCTGCTTTTCAAATTAGATTTTAAAATAAGTCGCCAGAGACCCCCTGAAAATACTTTGTATGAACTGTGCTTGGTGCATTATTTTCCATATCAATAGAGCAATTTATTTTATAAACACCCTGCACTCCAGCATGCATCACAGGAATGCTTTGTAGTTCTTGGATCTTGCATAGCTGACTTTGAATTGGTCTAGATTTTTTTCCTACCACAATCCAGAAAATTGTTTCCAAATACGACATTACCCTTTGTTTCCCAAAGCATTTAAATAGAAATAAATGGGTTAGCCTTGAATGAGATCATGCTATTACTTAGCGTTCAAGGCTTTTGAAATAGACCCTGTTTAGTGGCTGGATGTTTCTGGGTCCCAAGCAGTTGCACACAGTATGGGTGCCTGCATTGATAAGTATTAAACTCAAGCTGCAGGTGTAACTTGTTGCCAAGTGAGAGTTGATTGACAGATATTGCTTGTGCCAATCAGGCAACAGCAGGGCACCTGGTGCCAGACTTCTCCGTGCCTCCCATCCTGGCATGAGGACTAAGAGAAGCTTCCTACTAACTCCCCTCTGCAATTTCCTCTGGAAGCCCACCCTCTAGTTCCTTTTACATCTCGACCTTCTCCCTTCCAACTCAACACACACACACACACACACACACACACAAGTAAAAGGGGAAAAAAAATCTTGGAAGCCATATTTAAATACTCCTTAACCCAATAAAAAGCTCAGGACCAGATAAGTAGCTTCATTTATCAAAGATTATATTAAGACTGAAAGGACTTTTCCTATGACTGAATACTACATGGTATTATCAAAGAAACATCAGATTTTTTTTTTCTAGAGGGACCTGAGTAAAACTTACAGCTTAATGTCTAATATATTGTGCAACACTCTGGTTTCCTTACCTGGAAACTCAACAACTGCCTGGAGTAACTTATTGGTCCTCAAAAGAATTTCCCTTTTACCTCAAAATTCTAAAGAGCATCTCTTTAGAAATCTGATAAGGGAGGAAGGCTGCCTTGGATTTTTCTTTTCTTTGGTGCCTGGGAACAATCCCAAAAGGAGATCATCGGGCAATCCAAACATTGACTAAGGTACTGATGAGCTTCATACACTTACAATGCAAAAGAGTATTTAAAAGATTATAAAGCAGCATTAGGCTACCAGATTCAGGATTGTAACATTAGTCTAAACTTCCTGCCTTGGGAGCTGCTTTCTGATGCTCGGAGTAAGCTGCCTGCTCCAAGCAGTACATAGACTTTACATCTTGAAGTGTCTATGGCTTCTTATATACCTGTTTCTGTTTATGGTTACAGCGGTTGAGTGGCTGAGAGGAATATGATCTCTTGATTTTCTGACAGCATGGATTATTGGAAAGGAGTGAAATTTTCTGATGCCACAGGTCATAAATTTTGGGAGACAATGAGAGGTTGGACTCCAACAGCTGCAAAACAAGGGTGTAACTTCTCTTATTACTGCAACTTACTACACAGGGCATCTGTCAAAAAGTCTTCATTCACCAGTTCTTCCATGTTGCACTCCTCCTTGCCCCTCCTCCCCACCTTGCCAGATACCTCCTTCCTATTCTGCACCTCAATATGCTGGCAAAACACTTTGCTCTCTACCGTCTTCTCTGAGTTTAGTGGCAGCAAAAGCAGTCGCATGGTTCTGTCTTTCGAAAAGGGTAGCAGGAAGGCGTCTGAGAGGCTCATGGTGAGACCTTGTTCTGAGAATCACTGGTGTCTCTCCCAAAAGGACAACCACGGACTGTACAGGTACAAGCATCCAGGAAAGCGCACTTTGACTGGAGTCAGAGAGGGGAATATGGGAGGAAGAAAAGGGTGAATGAGAGGATTTGGGACTAAAAGAGGAGGAAGAAGTGGGGAGGGGGTAAAAAAAGGAAGAAGGGAAAAGTAATAATGTAATTTTAGAGTCAGATAGGAACTTAGAAGTCATGTGGTTCTACAAAGAGGAGCAAGAAAGGTAGAATGCGGGAGAAGAGAAAATGGAGTAGGAGGGGAAGGAATGAAGGCCGCAGAATTGGCGGCAAGGGATGTGGGGGGGAGGATTGGGGGGAGGGTTTTGAGGAGGAGGGGAAGAGGAATAGAGAAAGAGGGAGGGGGCATCGCCAGGCTCCCAAGCTGCTGCTCCTGGGAATGAGCCCTGAACTCTTGCAGGCGCCAAGTCCCAGCGCGGGCCGCGATCGCCGTCTGCTGGTTGTTGGGAAAGTCTGAGTACCCCGGTAGCCGCTTCTGTCCTGCTAGAGCTAAGAAAGGTTTCCCTATGACATATCACACAGAACGTCAGCAGACACTTGCTGCTGTCTCTGTCCGGTTCTCTCATTTCCATACACTTTCATCCAGGAAAGCTCTTCCAAATCAAGTAACGATGTGTGTGAACACTCGTGTTAACATTAAATAGAAATTAGTGTCTCCTTGTTTGAAGTGACTAGGTTACGTACAGTCGTCTCTCTTTAAACCCTTCTCAAGTCCCTTCTACCTCCAACGCTGCTCCGAAAAGGCAATGGACAGAACCCGAGTCACGCAAAGGGGGAGGGGAACAGGAGAAGAGGGAAGGGGATAGGG